ACGAGAAGCAGTTTCCAATGACTCGGGATCGATCCGGTGGGTGGATCGATCGATCCCTTCCCCAGACGTACTTTTGGCCCAGATCCGACCCGACTCGTTTCCTATTGTTTTAAAACCCTATGCTCGACTCTTTACACATGATCTTGGATATGTTTGAGTTCTAAACTTTGTTCTTTGGTTTGTAAACAACTTTGGGCAAAGGAATCCATCCTCTTGACACTTGGAGAAGATTTCTTTGGTTTATTGAATTATTGATTTTGTGACAAAAGATAAATATTAGTGTTCTAAAAAGCGGCCTAGGCGGTCGTCTAGACCCCGACTAGGCGTTCAGGTAACACCTAAATGACCGCTTCGACCGCCTCAAATAATATAAATATCGATTTAGTATATTTTTCCAATTTCCAACTACATATATATATATATATATATAATTTCTAAGTTTTATCTCTATATAAATGGTTATAAACGTTCATATGTTGTATGATATGAATTAAAGATATTTTTTTGTGCAATTTTTGTTTGCGATTTTAGTATTTTTATTTTTTTAATATATAGTTTCCTATAAATTTTTTTACAATATCATATTTATAATATTTTAAACGTAAAACATATAAACTGTCTAAAATTGTATAAAGTCTGATAAGACGTTCTAAACGCTAGACGTTGAATCACGATTAACGCGTAGCGCTTTCTTGAACATGGATAAATATTTTACTCATTTGGGATTTGAGACGTAAAAGGAATGGACTTACCCTAATACCCAAACACACTCAAAATCGTTTCACAAAAACCCCAAAGCTTTTCATTCTCTTTGCAATCAGAAAATTGTTCTTCCTCTTGGAGACGACAATGCAGAGGTTTTGCACTAAGCTACGTTCCATTTCCCTCCAATCTAATCGGAATCTCTCTTTTTCCGGTGCTGCTCCTCACCGTCTCATTCACCATTCTCCGACTCGTCACTTAACAACAACCCTAGGTTTCGCCAATTCCACCAAATGGAGCTTCCTTCCCGCCGCCGGAGTTTCTCCTTTGAATATTAGCTCCATGGGCTCTACCTTTGTTCCTCATCACGTAAGTTTCCAGAATTTTCATCACATTTGATAACTTGTTCTGATTCGCGAGATTAGTGAATTGGGTGAGAAAGTGAAGTCCTTTCGATTAGGTTAGGATTTAAGCTTCAATTGCTTTTTATCTCTACTGTATATAGATAGTTTTTAGTTGCTTCTGTAGAATCTAAACTTTCGATTTTGATTTGTGTGAACCTCTTGAAGTGTTTAATCGTGGGAAATGGAATCATATTGGCTCGGATTTGTGTGCTGAATTTACATTAGGGTAAAAGGGATTTATTGATTCATGGAATGTTTTAATATCATGTTGTTTTAAACCCAACTGATACAAGTGGGTGCTTTGGTTTATATCACTACATTGCAAGTTTAAGCTTATATAATCTTATACAATACACACATCTGTTCTTTGGAATCTGAACATTCGGATTTATGGTGTACTGTTCTTGAGTTTTGTGTCCCTTGTTTGGTCATGGGAAAGAAAGAATCGTCCTGGCTTTGATTGCGGGTTATCTGAAATAGGGAAAGAAAGAATCGCCCTTGCTCTGATTGCAGGTTATCTGAAATAGGGAAAGGGATGATTTGTTTATAGAATGTTAAGTAGCTCTTTCATTTTTGAATATCATTTTTTTTTTAAGGCAACTGATAAAACGAGTGTTTCAGTATCACTCAGAGTCTTATGCACACTTGTGTATTTGAAAACTGGACCTGTTTGGGGTTTATAAGTGTTGCATGTGAAGATAAAAAAATCCTGTATTTCATCCTAGTTTGAAACGTCAGTTTTTATCTCTTGGTTATCTTAATTTCGCTGATTCTCTCTGGCTTCAGTTTGTTCAAGTACGGAATATCACTTCCAAGGAAAAAATGGCAAAATGGAAGAAGAAGTGGAGACCTAGGACTCCAATCACATCAAAAGTCAAGAAAGTCAAGATCAAGTTTTATTCGTACGTTTCTGATTCCATGATTAGATATTTCTGAAGTGGAAAGTTTGTGCGTCTCTCTCAACAAGTAGTTTTTGTTGAATCTATATATCAGGTCATTCAAAGACAGGTTTAAACCACTAAATGATGGTACCATCCGTCGCTGGAAAGAGGGCAAGCGCCACAACGCACACTTGAAGGTAACACCACCTTATTCCTCATTCTATAATCTGAATCTCTGATTTTATTTATTCTTTTGGCCACTGCCTCTGGAAAAACAGTATGATAATAGCTAGGAATCTAACGGATCAGAAATTACCATCAGCTGATTATTTCTGCTGATAGTGAATGTTAACATAGAAATTGTGATTGAACTGGTGTTTCCTTGTTAGCTAAATATATAAATGGTAGCCACAGTTGTATCTACGTTACCATCTCTGTTGTTTGATTTTCTTCGGGTTTCGACATCTATAATGTGGAAGATTTCTGAGTCAGATTGATAAATGTTGAGGATAATGAATATGTTGTTAACTGATGCAGTCAAAGAAATCAAAGCGTAGATTGAGACAGCCTGGACTAGTACCACCAGCATATGCCAAAGTTATGAAGAAACTCAATTTCTGCAATTGAGAGATAGAGAAAGAAACAATATGATTACTATGAAAGCCAATCTCTTCCAGTTTTTTCCCAGATAATTTTGCTCACTGGTACCCAAAAATCTTCATGTTTCAGTTAACCTTATTGGAATAAATTGGCATTTTAGTCCTTTTCTTAAGGGTTTTGAAATCTGGTGAAATTGGCATTAAGACTGATCGGTTTCGTTGATTTGAAAAGAGAAACAAGTTAGTTGGCTTATACTACTATTTTCTCAAGTTCCTTTTCCAGCTAAACCAGAAGAAACCTTGTTTCTCTAGTCGGTCCGGTTATATGGTATTTCGGTTTAGTCAAATTGTACAAGATGTGTGAACCGAGCGGTGTGAATTGAGAAATCCACCCATTTTTTCATCTTTGGTTAGGACAAAACGGAGAATACAAAATTGCGCTCGAAGCGGCCTTGGTTCCACGTGTGTATTTCGTGTGGGTCCCAAGACAATTAACATAAAGACAAAATAGTAGTAACAAAGCCGTACACGTGTCATATGTACAACTACCATAATACCCCCACCGTCGAACATGTGAGTTTCAGATTATTGTATTCTCCCTTGTCCGACGGCGAATATTCCACGCTGGCAGTCTACGTGACATGCTCGCCCCATGCACTTTGTTTTCCGTCATAATTCTTTTTCAAAACAATTAGATTATTGTTTTTTTTTTTTTTTTTGATTATTGTTTTTGTTTTTTTCAAAAATAATCAAATACTACTAAAAATGTTTTATGTCGCTCTCGTCGGAGTTTGACACCGCGCATCGCTCATCATGTATTGATATGATGGTCGCCGAATACAACGATTTTTTTTTTAACAATAAAAAAAATCACAATACAAGAATGAATTTCATTATTGTTTGATTATTCGGAATGCATTAATGTGTAAATGTGTAATGGGAGTAACTAATTTGGCTGAACCATTTTCTATGTTTTTTTTTTTTTTTTATCTCAAATTTGAGACTATCCGACAACACATGAATGATAAATTTACATGATACCTAAATGAAGGACCAACATGGAGAGAGATTTTGATTCATGGATCGTATGAGAATGAGACAAAACCTTTAGTCATAAGTTATCTGATTTAAAAACACATAAATCTAACAAATAGTTATTAAAATGATCAAAATGATAATTCCTAGAAACTATATATATTCTTTGGACATTTATAATCTTAAGTAGTAAACAAATATCCATGATGCGGGCCATGTTCCTCTCTCCCATGTTACGATCTGAATATACAAATACCAATTGATTGATAATAAAAAAAAGGTACGCAATCATGTATATATTTTATTCTACAACATGACAAAATATACGGTCTAACATCTCATGGACACACAATTAAAACCGCAATAAAAATGCGTTTGTTAATTGCGTTTGTATGCAATAAATCAGTCGAAATGCACTAAAAATTTGGCTATGTTTTGCTTTAATAATTACTATTCACAAAACCGATACAAAAAACGTAATTAGCATTTTTGTACCGTTTTCTCTTATCATTATTTTTATTATTTTACTATTTTGATAAAAAATTTATGCGTAAATCCTATTATTTTCCGCTTAATCGCTAGGTTTACCATATCCGCCTCGATTAGTGACTAATTCTATAAAGAAATCAGTTCTCTGATTACTCTTCGTCTAATCCGATTATTTTCCGCCTAATCCGATTACTCCCGTCTAATCTTATATATTCCGATTATGTTTAGATTGCAAGTATATAACAACTTTTTTTTTGTTATTTAAACATTTGAATTGAGAGTTTGTGATGTTTTACAATAACTTATGTTCAAATTTTAATAAAAATCATAAAAATTTGTTTTCAAAGTACATTTTTATGTGTTGACTAATTTTGAAAACAATATTAGATTAATATATGTTAAAAATATTAAAATAACTCTAAAACTAATCTCCAATTAATCTTCGATTTAATCCGATTTTCGATTTATTGCTAGGCCATACCAAACTCTCGTCTACTAGTAATTTTTTAAACAAAGATATAAATAAACAAACTTGCAGTGTATGTATAATTTAAATAATAAGTACTATATTAAAAAGCACAAAAAAAAAAACAGGGAAAAAACGAAGGTTGACGTTAAGTGACGAATAATGTCTCCACTTCTCCTCCTCCATCATCATCACCGCGACGACTTTTTATGCTCCTCCCTTTCTCTCTCTCTCTCTCAGATTTTCCTCAAAAAGCTTTCTGATCTCTTTTTCTTCATCAATCATCTCACTTCTTTCTATTTCTCTCGTCCTCTCATCGCTGGCAATTTTCTCTTTACCCTAATTCCACTCACACGCCGACCTTCGTAGTTCGATCGCCGTTTTCCCATCTTCCGATCACATCCTCCGGAAGAGGAAATTTCCAAGTTATTAGATTTATTCTTCCGCTGATTTTCCCGCCATTATTTATTGATCGGAAAATTAAATGGAGAGAGTGAATCTGGGAGGTTTAGGTTACGATAACGGCGGAGTTATGATGACTAGAGATCCTAAACCCAGGCTCAGATGGACCGCCGATCTCCACGATCGATTCGTCGACGCCGTCGCTAAGCTCGGTGGTGCTGACAGTAAGCTCCTCCTTCTTTCTTGTTCAATTGAAGATAACCGGTTTCACATTATCATTCCGGTTTACTCCGGTTAAATCAACATCAGTGGCTCATCTTCTTTCTTATTCTTCATTTGAGATAACCGGTTTCACATTATTACTCCGGTTTGGTTGGTCCAAATTTAATAGATTACAAATGTAATTATCTGTTTGCTTAATGACATTTGTTATTGGGTTGATTCTACAGAAGCAACTCCTAAATCGGTTCTGAAGCTGATGGGATTAAAAGGTTTAACATTGTACCATCTCAAGAGCCATTTACAGGTCCAAATTAATACAAATTTGAATATATGACAATAATGTATAGCTTCAATTGTGGATTTTTACTTACATATTCTCTAATGATGTGTTTGTATGTGCAGAAGTATAGACTTGGTCAACAACAAGGGAAGAAACAAAATAGAACCGAACAAAACAAGGAAAATGCTGGTATGTATGATCATATCAATAACACAAAGAGTTATATATATAATTCAGCTGATATTGGAGTAGATATATCTACATTTGATGGATTTATGGAATATTTTATGTAGATATTTGCGACACGAAAGATTGATTGTTTTTGTCACAGGAAGTTCATATGTGCATTTCGATAATTGTTCTCAAGGAGGAATCTCGAATGAATCAAGATTTGATAGCGGCAATCAAAGGTATTTATATCGATGAATCAATATGCCTCTCTCGACCTCAATGGATTTGTAACAAAATGTTAATGAACACCCGCAGACAAAGCGGGAATGTACCATTTGCAGAGGCAATGAGACATCAGGTCGATGCCCAACAACGGTTTCAAGAACAGCTCGAGGTAACAAGAAAGGAAACAAATCTCTTCTTTCTTCTCTTAGAATATTTTAAATCTGAGTTTTTTTGCGGTGTTATAGGTGCAGAAAAAACTCCAGATGAGAATGGAGGCACAAGGAAAGTATTTGTTGACATTACTAGAGAAAGCACAGAAGAGCATACCTTGTGGTAATGTAGGGGAAACAGATAAAGGTCAATTCTCGGATTTCAATCTCGCACTTTCGGGACTTGTAGGAAGTGATCATAAGAACGAAAAGGTGGGTTTGGTTGCCAATATTTCACACCTTAATGCTGATTCTTCTGAAGATTTTCGGTTATGTGGAGAACAAGAGAAAATAGAAACCGGAGATGCATGTGTTAAACCAGAATCCGGATTTGTGCATTTCGATTTGAACTCCAAAAGTGGCTATGATCTCTTGAATTGTGGGAAATATGGGATTGAAGTGAAGCCAAATGTGATTACAGATAGACATCAATAGGTCAAATAGACACTTTCTTTAATTAGTTTTTCCTCTTCTTTTTTTTTAGTTGTCGTTTCATTTCTTATAGAAAGTTACAAATTGGCTTTATGTTTTTTTTTTTTCAAAAGCTTTAGATTAATTTAGCTAAGATGAGCAAACGATGAGGTACATTGTTGATATAAGTGATATAATGCGATTCGGCACGAACATTTCTTGCTAATATATCCACTCTGCCATTTTCACTACAAGGAACTAAGGATAAAGAAAATGTAGAGAATTCCTCTTTGTCACTCTATATTTCTATATTTAGCTGAGAAGGCTGGCCATTCGGGAAGGGATGACCCCTCTTCACCAGGTTGGAACAATCTGTAATAAAAGCTACATCACGCTTTTCGGCACAAGTCATGCATTTCATTGCCCAAACGAGTGTTTCCACTTCTGTATGTAAGGGCGATAGGCTTCGTCTAAGGTTGACAGCTTCCATGGTCGAGAACTTCCCGTTTGGTAACGAGTAGAACCATCATGTTCTTGAGATTTTGTCACTTTCTTTCCAAAGTCATCTATAAACACTTAAATCCCGAGAAATTGGATACCATTCTATAATAGCATATGGGTTCTATTTTACAAAAAAATTGTTCCAAGTGTTTTATATGTGAAGATAACTAAGAGAATGACACCTATAAGGCTATAAGGCTATAATGTTATAATAAAATAAAAGAGAGAGAGAAAGAGAGGAAATAAAAAAATAGAGACAGACCAAACATGGAGTTGATGTAGAGCTTTTGAGTTAGGAGAGAGCTTAGAGCCTAATCTGAATCCAGATTAGGAACTATAGCCGATGATAGCTCTATATGAGAAACCCTCACCGCCCCGATAAGCCGCTCTGGCAATTCTTCTGGTGTATTCGCCTACAAAACGTAATCTCGGGATCATCCAAAAGATTTCAAGAGGAGAAACAATCTTAAAGATCAAAGTCTTAGTTTTGTTGATTTTTACCTGTACAAGGAAAGCCATTTCAACAACCAAGGATGTGATTACGCCGATGACAAGACCAAGAACTCCATTTGCGACTGTGGATGAGCCGATATCTACATCTATCTGCATGGGAATGAAAATGTTTCTTTTTAAGTTACTTTATTTGATCTACAAGCTTTTAAAAAGGTTACAAAATGTGGACTCACTTCTAAGTATGTTGGACCGCGGATATAGTTGCAATCCACTGCTCTCCCGAGGAGACACGGAGTGCTTCCCACGCTTTGCCTTACTATCCATGAACCCTGCATAATAAGATTGGGTATCATGTGAATCTATGTGTTCTAAGATTTACATAGAGAAAGAGAGAGGGAAAGATACCTTGGGGACTAAAGGTATAAGCTTGAGCCTACTATTTCGAAATTCATCGTCACCATCAACAAAACGTTGGAAGAGGGATCCAGGTACAAGTTCTTTGGTCACAAAATAAAATACCATACTGTAGTGTGTTGATCCAGGAACCTACCAAAAATACTGGTTAATATATCGATAATGATAGCCACTTTTATAGTTAGTCATTATGTTGCAGTTCACAGGCAAAACTTACTTGAACATTTACTACCGTTGAGAAAAGACCCTTCTCCGCAGCAACCTGAAACGATTAATAGCATTTTAATTGGAATTTCCACGTGACAAAGAAGAGACCTCAAAGATTAGATAATAGCAACGGAAAGGGATAATAACATCTCCCTTAACACTAACAAGGAACTTAAGCAACAAGAATTAAGGTGATTGTATCTCTTACTTGTGCAGCACAGCCCTTGCGTCTAACCACATGATCCATTCTTTTAGTGTCTTTGAACCAATCGACGGCGACAAGATCCATTAGATGCTTCCCAGCAGGAATCTTCAGAGAAAGGTTGAATGAGGAGAATCGAAGAGGTAGTTTGACGTAGAAGAATTAGCATGAGCATCATTATAATGCGTTGCAAATTAATTAGGTTAGAGATTACTAACCTTCCTTTTATCTGAACAGAAACTCTTGCCACGGACTTTGAAGTTGTTCCCATCAGAAATCCTCCAGCAGTTACGGGCATTTTCATTATCATCGTGTCGCAGATTACCCGAGAAACATGACAGATCAATGTTGAGAGCAGCTTCCTCTTTTGAGGTTTCAAATGGCACCAGAAATTCATAAAGATTAGATACTTTTTCACCAACTCAGTAAGCATTAATGATAAAATACAACTATCAGTTCACCTGTTTTCTTGGCATCAGTCTCCTGCTCCTGCTCCTGCTTACTCGTTTCAGGCTGAAATATAGCAATAGTGAAGAAAGACTCAACTTGATCAAATCTTAAGTTCAAAGAGAATGCTTGATAGACCAACCTCTTGTTCTGAATCAGGTATCTGAAACTCGTCATCGTCGTCGGAGTCTTCATCCATTAGCACAGAGTTTCTGCTGGCACCATTTGTTTGATCAATAGAAAGGGAAGACTTATGCTGAGGCTTTCCACCTTTACCCAATGCGAAGGAAGATGATGCCATATTAACCATAACAGGGATCCTGATCGGTTGACCTCTATCATCTGTCTGTGAGAACCACTCGCGCAAACCTGCGATGAACATGAGTCCATGAATTAGAATGGCAGATGCACAAGTGCGGTTTCAAGAAGAGAAGAGGTCACTTTCCACAGAAATCTCAGTGGAAATGAGCACAAAGAACTTACCGGAAACACTGTTCAGCATTTGAAGAAGACAATGTTGTTGAAATGCTGGAAGATAACCTGCACCCCACCCTTTCAGATCGATTTGTATTAGATGTTGCACTTGTGTCCTAGGCCTTCCATTCCGGGGCTTTAGTGGGGCGATGTTAAATCCCCCACCTATACAAGAAAGCATAATCTGAGTTAGATTGTAATACATAATACATTAGAAGATTTTGGTGGTAAAAGACTTCGAATTAAACTCACTCTCCAGATGAGCCCGAACAAATCCAGGTTGTGGACCACAATTTTCATGCTCCCTAGAACGAAACAATACCACTTCACAGAAAGAGCAAGATAAATAATTAAAACTAGATATATAATAGAGGCTGTCCCTTCGGGAAAATTCGATAAAATAGAGGCTGTCCAGTTCTAGCATGAGTAAAAAGAGAAGGGAACATACCATAACTTCCATCGTCATTACGCCGCCAATAACGTACATAGCAGAGATCACGGGGCCACACAACCCTACAGCCATTTTGATAACATGAGTTTGACTAAACAGAGTTCTTGGAAACAACCAAGTAATATTCTGACTGAAAACGGGAGGATCACAAATGGTAACTAGTATAATGGCCCTCTAATTCCTATCTAAACACATCTGCATAACCCTTGAGCCCCCCAGGATTACTGGTCTATTTCATTACGGATGTGACAAAAATTTAGTTGATTTTGAATCAAATCTCTACTTCAGTTAGCAATTGAAAGCGACTGTGTGATTATTACTAAAATAATAATATTTCAGGTGCAATATTACATTGGCAACCAGTCGAGCAGAAGTCTGTGATAGAGTATTGCTGTGTGACCATCGACCTCTTCCACTAATCTCCCATACTGAAAACTGCAGTCCCACCTGCCAAGCCATAAGAAAAGAGGGAAAACAAAGAGCCTCAGATACTGACCAGAACAAAGAAAAGAAATCACTTTTGCTAAAAGTAGTATTGATAGAAAGTTTGGGCCAGACATTACTGTAGGATGTGGAAACAGAAGAGATAAAGACCGAACATTCTTATCCAATAGATTTTTCCAAATAACAAAGCATATAACTATAAGAAAATGAGGGCAAAGAAAAACCAAAAAAAGATGGTCGCTTATGACCAGATTATAAATGAGAATGCAGAAGATGGATTAACACCTACTCATATCGAGTGCCATCCATGCTCATCACAAGCTCGAATATCTCTTCACATGTGGCCTCCACAACACCAACAGCCTTCATAGCCCTGCTGCAGCTTCTTGGCTGCAAGCTTAGCACCGTAAATAATGGTGCTTGACTAAAAAAAATTACTAGGTAATCAGGAGGAAATTATGCCATAAAAATGACAAACTAAGTCACTTCCATACAAGATAATCAACTTCAAGTAGCTCTTCAAAAATCCGTAGACCTGCAAAATGTTTTTAAAAGTGAGAAGATTACTCCCAAATTTAAGCACTATCATTGAATACTATATGATTATATGATCCTCCAGATTGAATAGTAGTGAAATTTTATTTTGAAGCTGATTACAGGCACATGTCTTACAAGCCTAAAAGGAGGGAAAGACATTTAAAAACTTCCATATGGTATCTAATAAGTCGTGAATTTTTATAATTTACCAGGGTAAAAAAAAGAACTATAATGCTTACAGACACCAGGCATAGCCACTAACCATTTTGGCACTGAAGGAGACGCCAGTGTTTTCTCGAAAATGCTTGGTTGCTGGAACTCTGGTTTGACAACTCAGCATCAAACTCCTTAGTCCAGTCAAGTATAGATTCTGGAGGGCCTGCATGTTTGTTTGAGGTGGTCAGATTGCATTCAGGATTGCAGTTGACCAAATTAGTTCGTGACGAAATGAATTAGGAAAAACCATTTCCAATAGTAGTCCTCCTCAATAGATCACGTCGAGAGTCATCTTCATCATCCAGCGCACTGAACCTGAAGAAAATTGCAGATATTTGTTCGCATAAATATAGGTATACAAAATCCACCATAAGTAAACAGTGTCAAACATCAACAGTAATAATATATCAAATGATACTGGTCAGTTTCCGCATGCAGCATTATATTACCATCTTCCGGCATCAGTAACGTTCTCAGAAACTATTAGGATTGGTGATTAATTATTAGTATCTAATGAGACTTCCTCATACCAAGTTAGTTTCCTCTATCATATCCAGATTTTTTCAAGTTTATTTTATGAATACGATAGCCACAAACGTCAACCTTCTTCTGCATAATATGGATCTACACAGGTCAGATTTACTCTCTGTAGAGATAGTGCTCTATGACCAGAATTTCTGATTAAGGCATGGAAATCATATGATCAAGAAGACCTAAGCAAGTGAGTTGTTGTAAGATAACATCAAGATGCCTGCAGAGTGCAGAAATGATGTCGATTAATGCACTTACGGGCTTTCATGGTCTGAAGATGAAGCGGTCCTTCCAGCGTCCATCCCAGGCTTATATTCAAAAGAAACATACTGCTGACCACTTGGAACTAGGGAGTCTTGATGCTGCAACAGGGAAAAACACACAGTGGTATTGCGGTAATCAGATAAGCACCAATCTTCAGCTTTCAAACGGCTACTGATAAATAATACAGGCAGATACAGGGGGCTTCTCTTTTACAAAATATACCAGAACCTTAAAGACATGGCAGAATTTTTTTTTTTTTTTGATTCAGGGATAGCGAGACAGAAGTTACAGACCTGATCTATGACACACTCAATTTTCTCCTTCCACATTAAAGCTTCCTGGATGTTGAACGCTGCCATCTAGCAATAACATACTCCATATAAACTAACAAAAAGCATTAAAATATATACTAACAAGATAAAACTATTACTATCTACTCTCAGGAAGAAAAAACAAGATACCGTGATTCTGTGGTGCTTTTCTTTCTTGTTATAAATAGACAACACATAAACCATCTGCAAAACAGAGTCAAGAAGATAAGTACAAGTCACATTACACTAGTCAAGAATATTATAAGAGCAAATTAACTTGAAGGAAATCCATCCACTATTCACAACAGTTATTATTAAATGTACTGTTTCCAATTAGATATATAGTTCTGACGTCGAGAGAGATTTGGAACAGACGTAGATTTCAGCCATCGAAAACCATCCGATGGTAATGGAAAAACTTCAAAGAGTTGCACGATTAAGAATCAGTAGGATCACTTATCACAAATGTAAGCTTAATTAGGATTCAAAGGTTGCCACTAGTGCTCACAACAAAATCAAGCAGAGAAATTTCACTTTGCAAAACCACATTCTACTGGTAAACAACCCACATTACAACACATAAGCACTTATAGTAAAAAAAAAAATGGTAGCAGCAAAGAATAAGAACAAAACTCACATGTCCATGATGTGTCTTCAATCCTCGATCCTCAACTCTACAGTTTCCATCAATTACCATGGTCTTAATAGGAAGCTACATTGAACATGAAAAAGAAGCATCATTTAAGCAAGTAACCACATCACCCATTATCAAGCTGATACTTTTTCTATGTCTCTATCTCACAATCATACTCTTAAATTTGGAAAATTCTAAATCCAGTTTAAGACAAAACATCACCACCCATTTAGACTGATTTCAACACAGAAACAGAGATTAGACTCATGGTTTTATTACCTGATTATCTTGAGGCTTCTTCTTGTAATAAGCCAAAAGACGTGGTTCTAACACAAAATACCTCATATGAATATACGATCTTCCGATCTTTCTTCTTCCATACCTCACCATCCATCCTTCATACACTACTTTAGACATTTTTTTGTTGCCACTTTCTCTCACAATGTTCCCAACAGAAATAGGAATCTTAGATCCAAATCGAATCTATGTAATTCCGTGGGAGATCAAAGACTTGATTTGATCACCGGCGCCGGAATCTGGGTTTTGGATTCTCAGATTCTTTCGATTCAAACCGGAGAGATTTATAAGTCTCAAAAGTTTTGAAATTCCATAAAAATCAAATTTTTCCTCAAAACGACAACGAAAATTTTACTTTTGACAGAAAAGAATTAAACTCGAAAGCTAAATAGAGAAATACAATAAAAAGTAAAGAGAGAGAGAGAGTCCTGAAAAGTAAATTAATTAAAGAGTAATTAATGGTTCAATTAATTGAGTAAAGTCATAACAGCTCTGTAATGATTATGATAGTTGTTGACAAATGTTTGAGAGATTCGAGATGCTTAACGGTAATTATAATCCATCATTAACATGAATTAAATATTGTAAAGTTCCTTTTACTTTTCACATGAACACACATGAATAAAGGTCTAGTCAAGATCGAATTTTTTTACATAGTAAATGTTTAAATTTTACAGAGGATTAAGAAAAAAGAAAACTTGAAACAAACAAAGAGAGATTTATAATTAAAAATAAAACTTCTTACCGTTAATTTTATTTTTGGGGTTTTTAATCTGAAAAAAAAAAAAAAACTGAAATAGTCTTTTTTGCTCAATAAGGTGAAATGATAGATTCTATGAGCTCTTGTAGAGGCGCGAGTTCTTTCTTGTCTATCAGTCCAAACTCCTGCCAATACCAAACACAACAAGTTTAGTGAAATGTCCAAATTGTAAAAAAAAAAAATCAATCTTTTAGGAACAGAGGGAGTACTTTCTTAGTTTCTTAATATTAGATGTTTCAGAAAGACAAAAGTTTATTTCACAAAAATGAATGCTTTGAATTTTCAATGCAGAATTGTATGATACCACAAAATCATTCAATCATTTCATTATTTCGTAGATTATGAGATTAGAGTATATTGAGGTAATTTAAAACGAGAACTCACATGAGTAAAGAGGATGAAATGTTTGAAGCAAGTGTTGAGATGAGCTTCTTCTTTGAGGCTAACGATTTTCTGGAAATGAGAATGATATATATGAGCATAAACTCGGAATAGCCGTTTGAAGATCGTTTTCACCACATCCTTGAAGTTCTGAGGAAATGGTGCTCCTGCAAAAAAAACCGAAAATTAGCATTAGGATGTCGATAGAACAGTTTGTTTGTTGGTATTGATTGATCTTCTTATATAGATCTCATGAGCATTATATTTACCAAGCCTTTGAGGAAATAAAGTCTCATCATCGAGTTGAGTCTCAATCCAATCCATCAAGTACTCAACATACTTTGGAGCAGATACCTCGATGGGCTTCTTGATCTGTACACCATCTGCCCATCTGTACTCATACCTGCAAAAAAAACGACTGAGTTAACAAAAATCATGCAGAGAAAGAATCCATAGCAACAAACATCAGCCATATACTGTTGGTTTGAGCGTAGTTGGCACTCTATCTAGATTTCGACGTCACCTTTAAGAGAAAAATCGAAAAAGAAATGCTACCTTTCAAAAAACAATTTGAGCACTTAGCTTTCGCATGATCATCAGAAAATACTACATCGAGTAAAAAAAATATGGCCTACTACATTCTTTCTAATCTTCACAGTTGCAATGACAGCATAACAATATAACAAAGCTAAATCACCACTTGAAGACCCAAATATATAGCCATGGCAAAGAGAAAATGATATGAGTCTGTTAACAAGTTTGTTTCTTAAATGAAATGCTCATCCAATGAAAAATTAATCACAAAGCATGATGATTTTAATTGTTTGGAATAACACATAGTAAAAGGTGAGAGGCTATACTTTGGGCCAGCAGTCATTGTAGGACAGTTATCAGGTGTGCAGAACTCGGTAAGTGTGCCATATAGCAAATTCACCTGATTAAAGAAATCCACAGCTGAAATGAAAGACAAAATTATATCAACAAAGCTGCAAGTAGAGTATACACAAACGTAACCATGAGACTGCAAGTAGAGTGGTACTCACTGTTTACAGCAAGCCATTCATTTGCATCCTCTCCTGGAGGAAGTCTCACAGCTTCTCTCAAGTTCCCACTTCCTAGGGTGGCATCTATATGCTTCCGAAGCTGTGCACCCTATATATCAGAAAGAAACAAAAACGTTCAACAAGAAGAACCATTAGAGTTCTTGTCAACTAATGACAGCTACAAAACACCAAAATTACAGAATTTCAAAGATAGTTTACAAACCTTGCTTCCAGAAGGTGCACTCTTTTTAGGACGGAAAGTCTTTTGATTTCTATTACGAAAGCATAGAAAAAATAGAAAACATGATCGGGTCAAAACGGCTATAAGTGCAACATCAAAAATTCAGTCTTAATCCATAAGTAAACCCTATGTATCCTAGAAACAAAATTTTGATAACAATCACTGCATAAGACACGGTTGAATCACTAAAAACTCTTGTTTTGGGTCCATCTTATATCCTACAATCATGAATTCTGAGAAACAAAACAAATCTGATCGATCCCATTGAATATGCCTAGTAAAAAAAGTTCCAAATCCACAGCTCCAATGATTTTAAATCCATAAACAGCTTAAAAACACTACTTGTATCATACATGAGACGATCTCAAGTTCATAAGATCAGGAAACTGATCCAGATTCCCAATTCATAAATCAGATCAAAAACTTATGTATAAAACACACACTCACATAATCAATTCACAGAAAAAAAATCAACCATGAAACTGAATCCAATACCACATAGAAAATTTCTTATTCAACGAACGATTAAGTAAGGTTAATACTAGAGATCATAAGTTCTGATTCGCCACAAAAAGATCCATGATCCTGGACAATTACAATGCAACGGAGATCGAAAGAAGTAAGAGATTGAATCACAGAAGAAACAAGATCACTGGTTTTATGAGATTTTCAAACAGATCTGAGATCGCAAACAATCGTCAAAAATTTCTCCAAAGGATAATCTCAAATTGAAGATAAGATTAAGCAGAGGAACGAAGAAATTCTCACCTCCCAAGCCCAAAGAGACTCATGGCGACAAAAAGCAAGCGAGAGAGATTCGAAAAAGCTTTTTTCCTCAGGTGGAAAAATGAGAAAAGAGAAAGACGGGAAAAAGTGAGAGACTATTTATATGGTGAAGACGAAAGACTCGTTGATTCTCTTTCTCTCTCTCTCTCTCTTCTTATTAGCTGTCATATTTTTTTAAAACCCCTCAACTTTTAGAATGTTTGGTATTATACCCTTAAGTTTCTTAATGAATCAATTATTAGCTGGAAAATTCAAGTGACTTGACTACACCACAAAGATTGGAAAACTGGAATTTGTCTTCATGGGCAAGCAAATACAAAAAAATAAAAAAAAATTGCTTACTCATTTTATTAGTTTCTGTATAGAACTTAGGACAAATATCAAAGCCGGCGGTTATCGAAATAAATCCACCTCTCAAAAATTAAGGGTCTGACTCGTTTAAACATAACATAACAGATGTAGTTATGATTAAGGAAATTTATGAAAATGAGCGGTTGCAGTTTCAAACGTGATTAAGCACTTTAAACGATTGGTTTAACGGTTAAAATTAGTGTGTTACATGAATTTTATAACTTGTTAACTAGCGGATGCGACAACGGTTAAATAAAAAATGATTTAAAAATAAATATAATCAATAACTCTAAAAAGTATAAACCAGAAATTCTATTATTACGATAAAATATAATTAACAATAAAAATCGTAAATAAAAGACAACATAGTTATTCAAAAACAAATAAATTTCACAGTGAAATGCTTATTACTTCATTTTAGTTCATCACCAAAAACTGCATGAAGTAATATGACAAACTACTAAAAATGTGTTTGAGTTCGTAGATTTTCGAGATTGACAATATTATTACAATACTTATGTTCGTATCTTGGTTTTCTTCCGCTTGGATTAACGATATGATATTGATGAAGAAAAAATTAGGATTTTTGATAATTAACGTTAATATATATAGGGTTTGATAATATTTTTTTTATTTATTTGTTGTTTATGTGATTTTTTTTCTTGACACCCGCTACCGATCGCTAAGAGCTTTTGAAATTCAGTGATTTCGATTAGTGTAGCACAGTTTGAAGCGATTTCTATGATTGTTTTTAAATGCTAGCAACCGCAAACGCTAGGTAGTAGGGGGAGAACCAATCAATCTTGCAAAGGGAAAGAAGACATACAAAACTACCAACATGACAAAAACAAACCTTAAACCAAGAAGAAAACCAAGTCTGAAACTGATACAAGAGAAACACCCAAAAAAAAACGGAATCTAGCAACATCACCTCGCCAACCGCAATAACTAAAAACACAAGAACCTTACAACGAGCCAAACCGAAGGGGACAAAAAATTTCCAACCAACGGACATCAGTTCCATCTATTACGATGAATAGTGAAGATAGGAGGGCTTGTGGTCAACTTACCTCATTAACCAAAGAACTTGTTACAAAACTGTAGACCAAGAGATTGATTATTATACCATTTATTGAGATTTACAGCTCGCTTGCTTCGTCAATCCATTTGGCATTTTCTTGTTTACTTATATGCATAAAAGTAAGTAAATGTACATGACCTTGTTGAAATCTTTATAGTATCAGCAAGATATGTCACAATTACCAAGTCTTTCCATCTTGGACTGATGTGATGTAGAGAGTTATGTTGAGGAGTGTAATAAACCAAATACAGATCTCCACAAAATGTTACATTAATAGGAAATGAGCATGCAACTTTTTATACCTATCAACTTCTCAAGTTTTAACTTCACACAATTCACTCCGCGCTCAGAAATCACCATTCATGGCTGATTACTTCTCAGACAACGAATCTAGAGAAATCGTCACTTATCCAGAAAGCTATTATTGTTAGAAACAGAAAACAGTGAAAGTGTAGACAGTCTTCAAGTAAAAGATATTTACTTTTAACTTTAGAGAATCTTAAAAAAAAAACCTTAATGTTCTAAGCAGCTAGGAGGTAATCATCTATATGATCATATGTTTAATACCATGTGATAAATATACATTCGAACTTTTTTCTTTTTTTAGTAGGTTACTTATGCTCAGAAGAAAAGAACAAAGACTAGGAATAAAGAAGAAAAAAAAAAACAAAAAGCAAAAAAAGAGATTAAGATATTATTTGATTATAAGCAAGGTATAAAGTTACTTGTAGTGTAACAGTAACACTTGATGGTCTGTGTTTCTATTTCAAGTCTCAAAACAATGGAAACAAAGAAACCCATACACAAAAACTTAAAACTGTATGTGAAAGAAACGTTCACTAACCTTTGACACTTCTGTGAACATCCACAGTTTGAAACAAAGTACAGTCTCGTGGTCTAACGAAGAAGAAGACAAGATGACTGACATGATTCCACCACATTTGAGGAAACTTTGGGACAAATGGAACATTCGTGGAGTCATAATACTCAGTCTCTTCCTCCAAACAATCCTTATTTTCTTTGCACCTAGCAGAAGACGCACCGCAAAGAAGCTCTTCCTTGTCCTCATATGGTCAGCTTATCTTCTTGCTGATTGGGCAGCTGATTACGCGGTTGGGCAAATCTCAGACAGTCAAGAAGAAGAAGCTGCATCAAACAAACAGTCCAAGAACCGTGAGCTGCTAGCTTTTTGGTCACCGTTTCTTCTCTTGCACCTTGGAGGTCCAGACACCATTACAGCACTTGCCCTGGAGGATAATGAGCTTTGGGACAGACATCTGTTTAGTCTTCTCTGTCAAGGAGTCGCCACCGTGTATGTGATCTTGTTGTCTATACCAAATAGGCTTCTGACTCCAACATTAATCATGTTTGTGGGCGGAGTGATCAAGTATGTCGAGAGAACAGCTGCGTTGTTCTCAGCGAGTCTTGGCAAGTTCAAGGATTCTATGCTCCACGATCCTGATCCTGGTGCTAATTACGCAAAGCTCATGAAGGAATATGAAGCTAAGAAGAATATGAATATGCCAACTGATGTGGTGAAGGATCCAGAGAAAGGACGAGAAGGCAATACTCCGATTAGGCCCGACAATACCTTGACCGCACTTCAAGTTATTCAGTATGCGTACAAGTACTTTAACATCTTCAAAGGTCTCATTGTTGATCTAATCTTCACCAATCAACAGCGCGACGAGAGCAGGAAATTCTTTGACAAGCTGACTGCAGAAGAAGCTTTACGTATCATCGAAGTCGAGCTCGGCCTCATCTATGATTGTCTGTTCACCAAAGCAGAGATTCTGCATAACTGGACTGGAGCTGTGTTCCGGTTTATAGCTTTGGGGTGCCTTGTTGCGTCTCTCTGCCTCTTCAAGATGAATAAGAAAGATCAATATGATGGATTCGATGTCGTCCTTACTTACGCATTGCTCATATGTGGAATAGCTCTTGATTCCATTGCTCTTCTCATGTTCTGTGTTTCTGACTGGACCATCGCTAGACTGAGGAAACTAAAGGAAGACCTGGAAGAGAAAGACACCAGGACAGACAGAGTTCTCAACTGGATCCTCGATTTCAAGACGCTGAGATGTTTCCAGGATAGACATGAAGTGCTCAACAGAAACTTTATGTTTCGCAGGTGGTCTGAGTATGTTCATGCTTACAACATGATTGGATTCTGCTTGGGGATACGTTCCACGAGAATCCATTATACCAAGGGTAAGATACACAGTTTCTTTCACCAGATCATTCACATTTTGTCCATAGATACTGCCATCGAAAATTTTCACCAGATCATTCACATTTTGTCCATAGATACTGCCATCGAAAATGCCACCAGAGGAGCTCGCCAGTTTCAGAATTGGATTGGTCGCTCTCTCAGTAATTTGTCCAAAAGAGACAATTCGGTAATCCGTACCGGTCTTAAATGGTTTCTCTTTTTTCCTCACCTCCTCGGACTTTTGATCTACAAGTTCCTAGACTTCTTCGGTATCAAAGATTTGGTTGAAGAGATAAGATTCACAGTCAGTGATCGCCTCACCAGAGAACTATGGGAGTTCATATTCACAGAGGTGCAACAAAAACACCAATTTGCTGAAGACCAAGAAAGTGCAAAGGATATATCTTCAGCTAGAGGAAACTGGACTCTACTTGAAACATCAAGCAAAAAAAGAGAATACGGATCAGACCATGCGAAACTTCTGCAGTATGTAACAGAAAAGGATTACGATCAGAGCATTCTACTGTGGCACATCGCCACAGAACTCTTATACCAAAAGTCAATAGACCAAGAAGTGACAACAGAGAAACAAGAACACCGTAAGCGAGAGAAAGAAGAACACAGTAACCGAGAGTTCAGCAAAATCCTTTCGGACTACATGATGTACCTCCTTATAGTGCAGCCAACTCTGATGTCAGCTGTTTCTGGAATCATAAAGATACGTTTCAGAGACACATGCGAAGAGGCAAAGGACCTTTTCCGGAGGAGGCATATCGACAAATCAAGGTATGAAAAAAACAACCTTGTAAAAGAAGCTTGTCTAGCTATTCTCTCTGTCAACACAGAAATCGATCCAATGGCTGTGAAAGGAGACAGAAGCAAATCCGTGCTGGTTGATGCAAGCGTGCTTGCAAAGGAGCTAGAGAAAGAAGGCAGAAACATGTGGGAAGTAGTGAGCAAAGTGTGGGTTGAGTTACTTTGCTATGCATCACTTCATTGTAACTCTCAAGAACATGCTTCTCAACTCAGCAAAGGCGGTGAACTCATCAACTTTGTTTGGCTATTAATGGCTCATTTTGGACTCGGAGATCAATTCCAAATCAACAGAGATGATGCAAGAGCCAAACTCATTGTCGCCAATTGATCACACAAACTCGGTTTCTTCATCTACTTTTTTTTTTCCCTATGTTTTATCTTTGTCCACTTCCTTGAATAATCTGCACTTGTAGTGTAGTAAACTTCCTAGTCTATGCTTATGAACATGAAAATCATCTCCTTTGTTATCAATTTCATTCAAGATTTAGACTCTTACTCAGAATCACACAATTTATCAGACCCTAAAACCCTAAATCTGGATTAGATTCTTTAACACGTAAAGTACCTATCCAAATACTCATCGAAATAAAACAGGATTCACACAATTCTTCAATAAAAAAAAAACCCTAAATCCCCAAATACAAAACCCTACTTACAATACAAAATCAGCCTCAGGGAACTAATCTTTAACTTTAGAGATTTGTTTATATAACCCCAAATACAAAACCCTACTTATTTATCTGCGGTTTTTTTTATATATATGTCTAACTTCTAAAATTTAGTGATTTGAAATTTGTGCACACTAATTTTTACCTTTTATCTATAAAAGTTAAAAATTATTGCTTACAAAGATGGTATAAACTCTATGTGAGATGTTGGACATAATTAAATTGATGAATTAATTGAGATTAATTTTGAACAACTTGTTTGAAAATCTTGCTCTCCACAATACATAGTTTTAGGTGGTTTTATTTAGTGGAGTTGAGAAAAATGAGAATTAAGATGATGATCTCATTTTTTAACTTTGAATAATATACATAATTTTTATCTTAATCTGAGTTACTTCAAATATTTATATTAGATTTATGTTGTTCATAATAATTTGTTTTACATGATGCGATGTTTAATGTTTCATATATAATGCTTCCATCACGTAATTATATATATATATATATATATATATATTTTGTGATAATCTTTTGTTTGTTTTCAAGTGTTACAAGCTTTCGATACTTTTTTATTTTAGGAAAGTAATTATCAACAATTATAACTTTCTAAGTAAAACGTTTTTAATTAAGGTATCGATATAAACATAGAAAGTTTAGAACAATAACCTAATAGTAATTACATAAAAAGGACAAAAATGTTATTGAAAAGTTTATTAAAGAAATGGTGAGATAGCGTGGTAGTATAAGGAGGTTGGTTATCTTTGTGCTTGAGTTCAAACTCTTTTTAGTACGAAAGATTATTCTTCAAATCGAAGTATCTAAAATCTGATTTTAGGTACCGTAGAAGATTATAGAATGAAGATTCATAACTCTGGTTGTTTATGAAAACAAAAACAAAACAAAGATTGGAGTTTTTTCTAAGTGATTTATGTGCTTTAAACATTTATTGATCTAATCAAATACATTCACGAATATTTCTTGTCTAAAAATAGTTCTTTTCATTTTACAACAGCGTACGTTAAGGTGCTTTTTCCATGAAACAAAATCATGCCAAAAATAAAATAAAAAGTTCTTCCACAATTTTAACTGTTTAAGCAACTTGTGTGCAAGACTAAAGTGTGGTTTTCTTGATTTTACTATCAACAAGAAAAGAATATCTTATTCTAACAAATAAAAGCCTTTGGTTAAAGAGTACTTACCGTGGAATATAAGAATGGAATGCATAATCTGAATAACGTGGGAGTTATCTTTATTTATAAAATTCTGGTCAAATAATTTACAATTATTCTAATCACCTATATATATTATTGATATAACCTGAGTAAGAGAGCATGAAACAGCAAATTTGATACTTAACGATCTTAGTTTTTTCAGACACATTACAAGAGTAACAACAATGCAAGTGATTCCACCAAAAATAAAAAAGATCTTAGACATATGGAACATCAGAGGACTTGTGATATTGTCTCTGTTGTTCCAAACGTCTCTTATCTTCCTTGCACCGCTGCGGAAACGTACATCAAAGAAGTGGCTCGCTGTGGTTCTTTGGACCGCATATCTTTTAGCGGATTGGACCGCTAATTATGCGGTGTCACAGATTACTAAGAATCAAGGGAAAGAGCCAGAACCTGGCGAGTTTCCAAAAAACAAGAAGGTACTTGCTATGTGGGCACCGTTCTTGTTGCTGCATCTTGGTGGGCCGGACACGATAACCGCGTTGGCTCTTGAGGATAATGCATTATGGAAACGTCATTTGTTTAGCCTCGTCTCTCAAGCGCTCGCATGTAAGTAACGGGCCGGTCGACACAATTTGAATATATGAAAAGAAAACATATACTATGGCTCTAAATGATTATGACACTGATACCTGAGTTTTGCATTGCTATTTTATTTTCTAATACTATCCGTGTTCGCTATGTGCTCTATACGTAGTAGCCATTCGAAACATAAGTGCATTGCACTTTTTCAAACACAAAAAAACATATGCATTGCATGAAGATTAAACGTTAAATTTTATTTTTTTTGGAAATTTAGATTAAACGTTAGTTATCAAGTAATAAATATTGTCTTTGGATTTTCCACATACCAATCATATAATGATATAAGTATGCATATCTCATGATTTACCGTTAGGTGATCATTTTAATGATTAAAAAGTACTTCTTAATTTATTATTTGGTTGACAAAAAAAGTTATGAGAACTCATATTATAATTTCTCAGTAATTATTTTAAATTCTTTAATAATGTCATTATAAATTGATCAGTAGCTTGATTATATATGTTGAGTCTTACCGTTTCTTCTTATAATATATATGTTTTCAGGTGTTTATGCGGTGGTGCAATCGATGGAAAACGTATTATGGCCACCAATCACACTGTTATTCATCACCGGAACGATTAAATACGTGGAGAGGTCACTCATTGTACTCAGCGAGCTTAGAGAACCTCAAAATCAGAGTTTTTGAATACTCTTCGAGAAAAGATTTAAATCTCCCAACTAAAATCATCTTAATCCACAAGCAAAAGGGACCCCCGAAACTCGTTAGACCGGACCGAGATTTAACCGATCTCGAAATCGTTCAATACGGCTACAAATTCTTCAACACTTTCAAAGGTCTTGTTGTTGATCTTGTTTTCAGTTCTAGTGAGCGAGACGAAAGCAGAGATTTCTTCAATGAGTTGAAACCGGGAGAAGCACTAAGGATTATTGAATCCGAGCTTGATTTTCTATACGAATTGATGTTTACGAAAAATGCGATTCTTCACACGATAACCGGTACTCTGTTTCGGTTAATTGCGTTTGGATCACTTATTTCTTCCTTCTTTGTCTTCCATCGTAGGCCGCTTAAGTCTGAGGAATTTCATGGAGCAGACATTGTGATTACTTACACATTGTTCATCGTTGGTATCGCGCTTGATCTCCTGTCAATAGTCATGTTCTTGTTCTCGGATTGGACATATGCGGTATTGAGTAAGCTTAAGGATGATCCAGAGGAATATAATAGTTTTATCGACTCTTTACTCAATTGGTTTCTCGCGTTTAGGAAACTGCGTTGTAAGAAGCATACATGCAATGGAAACCAGACCCAAGAGGTGCTCTCGACGGGGTTTTGGTCACGGAGATGGTCAGGCATGATCTACGGATTCAATTTCATCGGGTTTTGTTTGAAAGCCAAAGTTTCAAGAATCCATAAGAAGAGAAACTGCAATGTTTTAGTGTGGGAGTCTGTGGGTTCGATGTTCGATTGGATAATAAGAAGAATCCAAATGATGTTTGGATGGATCAAGAATGTTAATAGATCACTCAGAAGCGTGATGAGGCAATGGTCTAAGAAGAATCCGATGTTTTGTTATACGGTTTACCCGTTATACCTCGTGTTCTTTGCAGGTATTCCTCAAGTTTTCGCAGTCTTTTGGGGTCATATTGATCGAATCTTCAGTGTTAAATCTTATCTAGACGAGATTAGGTTCATATCGAATGAGCCTTTGACGAAGAATCAATGGGAATTTATATTCAATGAGGTAAAGAATAAGTCCTACTTTGCGGAAACACCCGACCTTACAAAGAAATTGTCTTCGGCGAGAGGAGAGTGGGTTTTACGAGATATGATTCTGGCAGAAAGTGAGAGATTGATGCGTTACGTAGAGAATGTTTCTTATGATCAAAGTCTTCTCCTTTGGCATATTGCTACTGAGCTCTGTTTTCAACAAGAAGAAAATGAGGAGATGGAGAATCTAAGCCGAGATAATTACGATGACCGTGAATTTAGCAAGATTACATCGGATTACATGATGTATTTGTTGATAATGCGACCAAAATTGATGTCGCAAGTGGCAGGAATCGGAACTATAAGATTCAGAGACACTTTAGCTGAAGCTGAGAGGTTTTTCAAAGGAAAGCATATCAAGAACCTGAGAGATATGAAACGAGCGAGTAAGATGATTTTATCGGTTAGTAACGATTATGAGCCAATGTATGTGAAGGGAAATCGAAGCAAGTCAGTGCTTTTTGATGCGAGTATGTTGGCAAAAGAGCTTCAGAGATTGGAAGATAATAATAGTAGAAACGGATATGGGAAATGGAGAGTGTTAAGTAAAGTGTGGGTTGAGTTGCTATGTTACGCAGCAAGTCAGTGTAAAGCTATGGAGCATGTGGCGCAACTTAGCAGAGGTGGGGAGCTTCTTAGCTTTGTTTGGTTGTTGATGGCTCACTTTGGGTTATCAGATCAGTTTGAGATCGATAAAGGAGAACCTCGAGCTATACTCGTTGCAGGAGAGTGATAGTTATTACTCGTAGCAGGAGTTCAATGTGGGATATTGTTATCTGTAATTGTTATAACAAAAAATACAATATAAATCTATCTGTTGTACGAGAAAAATTCTTAAAAAATTGTCAATGTTACAAAAATGAAACTCTTGAATATTGAATGGAGCTCATAAGTCATTCAATCACTACCATAAAGTAATGGAATAGTTTGGTGTAGTGGAATGGTTTGGAGTAGTGGAATGCTTTGGTGAAGTGGAATAGTTTGGAGTAGTGAAATAGTTTGGTGAAATTATTTGGTACTATAAATATGCTCTTCCACTCCATTGTAAGATACACCATTGATTCACTTAACAAAGAAATGTATAGTTTCTTCCCACATTATTACTCTCTCTCCCTTATATTTCTATCTCTTTAAATAATTTTATTATTATACCATTTTCAACATATATGATCGATAGAAAATTTACGATACATTATTTTTCTTAATTATAACACGTTATCAGCACGATCACTCTATGATCGCTGGAAAAAATACGGTATTATACCGGGCGGTATGTCGCCTCGTAAAAGAAAAATATGGAAAAAGAAAAAAAAAAGAAAAAAAAAGAAAATAT